ATTTTTCAGAATTGAATTTCAGAACCCGTCATTCAGAGGCATTAAAAGTTATGAATCCAGGAAAAGTTACAACCTTCAGCATACTATACACAATGCGTACAGTAGTCACGAGAATGAATTAGTGTTGTTTTTACTAGGTAATTGAATTTCACCTCTGATATGTCAATATAAACATAAGCACGAGCTCATATAATATTTACACATTCCATATACAAAGCCAGTTAAAAGGTAAGAGAACGAAGGTATAAAAAATATATTTTCACTGACAGTTTAAGGGCGTTGACCAAATCTCTATCAGGCTACTTAGTATAATAATAATAATAACTTTCACAAAAATGAGTTTAATTTCGCTATCGAAGCGTGTTGAAAATTTTTCATATATATATATATATATATACATATCCTCTTTAAAAAAACTGTCCATGTTTTGTTTGCCTGTACGTAGTGGTCACTGATCTTATGCTATAAGAATATTACTGATGAAGTTTGCAAACTTGACAAACGTAGAATAAATTTGCATAGGCGTAGGGAGTAGGCCGGCAAAATAGTAGCGGTGATACATGTTTACCATAACAATGGAACTTCGATAACAATTGGACAGACCAGCTTTGGCATGATTTACAATGGATGGAGAGATGAAAATACATTCTGTATTTAAAGGTGGACTTATTGATTAAACAACAGAAAGGCAATTTGAAACATTGCCAACTATAATACAATAATCTGTAAGCTACAACTTCTTAGCCAAACGAATTATAATGTCCCTTCTACATCAATTTGAGCAAGTGAATAGTTCTATGAGTGTGGCTCATAATCTAGGGGACATGGAAAACTCGTCCCTGGTAATTGTTTTTTAACAGTGTAGAGTCTAGGTCAGCTAGATGGACAAAATAAGCGTGAATCTGTTCACTCTATTGACTGAAAGACATACTCTATCCACAGACATTAAAAACAGGCTACAGTTTAGTTGACAAAGACAGCTCCCACCAGCAAACAAGGGCATTAGTAGACAAAAGTAGACATTTACACATAAACAACTATAACACATTCTTCAAAACCAAACAAAACGGAAATAGAGAACATCAACAAACAGTTAAACAGGAATGAAAACAATCCACGAGAAACGAAACAAACACACAGAAATGAACGAAGATAAACAACGTGCAAACTTAGAACATAGAGAAAACAACTTAGAAATGTACTTTTCATAATATGTTGACCAATAGTAGATGAAGACCTGAGACGAGAGAGAGGAAGTATAATGGGACATAAGATGGATGATACATAACAGAGATGGATAAAGGCGGTTAGATGAAAACATTGAACATATAAGGAAAAAAACATTACAACTACAAGTTTCAACTAATTCTTTTTCACTCTCTCACTCTATCGAAAAGACAAAATAATAAACAACTGGCGATAATCGATGAAGATATTTATGATACCGTAAAACTACAGGTAAACAATTTTTAAAATATGAACAATTGCAATGAATATAGTGAATATTATGCAACAGTTTAAACCTATGGGTCCAACACAATGTTAGTTAATAGGGTTTTGTGACTAGGGCTCACATGTGTTGTGCATGCCGAACCGTCACTTTCCTCGTTGACCAATATTAGCTGACATATTAAGTTGGAAAACGGTAAGGGGTGGTTGCGCCAAAACCTGACATCAATACAAGCGGTCTCTGACAGTCCGTCAAGTAGGGATGTTTAGATTGTCTGGTTAGAATCCTCGGAATCCTAAGCACAAAGGGCTGGGGACTATTCGAAATCTCTCTCTGAATAGCACAGAAGCATTCACCCTTTATGTTACGTCATATCCTAATGTTTTCTCTCTCGTATACATTGCTGCTCATCATAATTCTTTGGGATCTCGTGTATTTCTCTTTTGTTTTCCTTTAAGTGCCATAAGGAGGGAGTGTAGCAACCTGAACTGGTGCCATTCCGTGCAGAGTCCTAGGTTAAAACACAGTCAGAACTAACCGAAATTTGGAGTTCTGAAGACACGAGATATTGCTCAGTCCAGTATCCAGCGTCTAGGATCAAAGTTTAAAGGTACAGGTTTTGAAATAATATTACCATTCTCTTGTTCTAACACTAAAATATTTCGTAAATGAGTAGATCGAATACGTGTCTAAAATATAACCACACTACTGTATCACTCTCGAACGCCTCAACACCACTGCTCCTAATTTGAATGAGAGCTTGTCCGAAGTATGATGCTCATAGATGATCTCTACAAAGTAGGCCCAGTCCATCTCCTGTAATTTGTATTGGGTAATAAGTATGCATTTCGTTCGCTGACTGAAAGAATTCCACAAGGCTTACTTATGTGATCTTCAGTATCAAATGAATACAGCTGGTGACGACAGTCTGTAGTAGGCGGGCTGTTCTAAATGATGCTGGTGATGCGTGTATGAAGTCTTTCAACTACATAGAAGAATTGAGTTAGAACATCAGCGTTGACATTTCGAATCTTGCTCAGTTCTGCTATGTTGTTCATTAGGTAGTGAATATCTACCATACTTTGATGACAGATACATGATTGTTCTACAGTTTGTTTGCATAATGAAGATTCCTCAAAATACACATACTGTTTTGGAGTAGCCCTATTTCATTTGATTCTCATTCCTTGGTACGGTTTCACAAAGAATTTTATGGGATTCAATGTAACGGATGAACCCCGGGTTTGCTAACATCATTTTACTTCAAATATAGAGACAGAATTACTTGTTTCTAATTCAATTTTGATGGCTCCTAGTGAGATGATTGGACAGTGTCTGAAGATTACCTTGAAGCAATTTGGCGAATGGTCAAGTAGCAGTAGAACCCATTAGGATGGCTGTTTCGTTCTACTTGGGACTCATCCACTGGAAGTGTCAGCATTCCCCAGTGAATGAAATATAGTGTTGTCCCACTGAGGCTAGAACCCAGTATTCATCGTTTCAAATGCCAAAGCGTTATCCACTAGATAGACCACTTGTAACACGACAGCCCCTGTTAAGGTTGAGAATGTTGACTATGCCCTTAGACGCACGAAAGCCTGTGTGCACAACTTTCACATCGATTCTTCAAGATTAAACATTTTGCAAGTCATGAGGATCAACTTACTTTTTCAAAACATCTTGGTTGTTCATCTTAATTCATATTAATATTGCAAAAACATTATGCACATTTTGACATTAATCAGCCAGATGTGAAGAAATGACCTAAGCTGGGATGGCTGGTTTACACAAAGGGTTGATTAATTTTCAAACACACACACACAAATGAATTTTCTTTTCACATCTAAACATATCTCTCTATGGGTAGACATAAGCACACATGCAAAATAGAATGGACGCACACAGACAACATTATGTTGGATTAGGATGAGGGTAGAGGATTCGATAAAACCCTAAAACCACCACCTATGAGAGAGTTTGACTCAGACTGCCTTATTATAATGCGAGACATGAAAAATTACAAAAATAATAATAATGACAACAGTTCAGCACTGTATGTGATTGTCGGTTGGGGTAGAGGAAAAATTTAGAACAAAGACACCTCCTCTATGCGCATACAATTGAGACAATGACGCACAAAGACACAACGCTATCCTTGTTCAATCTATGTGCATTCTCTATCTCTCTCCCTTTTAGCATAGTTTATAAAACATACACACCAGTCATCATCAGATTAAACGAAAGATAAAACCAAACCGAGTTGAACACAAAGAAAATAGACAGCATTATTACTAGACCAGAAACAATGGAAACTTGCTTTGATTATAGGAAGGCACTTATGCCACTTCATTTATGCAAAGTAATATTTTGTAGTATGTAGGTTCGGAGCTAAACTAAACTAAGCGGTTCCGAGGCAACCGTGCATTTGCTGAGTTCATAAGGACCAGCCAAACAGGTAAACTGAGAAGAAATAGACGCATGAATATATATAAAGCTGCCCCTGAACAGGAATCACATCTAGTTTGAAAAAGACAAACATTTGAAACCCAGTAGATGACATTTCCACTAATTACAATCTGACACAACTACCATGAGCAGTCAAATTGCCCGCTGGCATTAAAAAACCAGCCAAAGGAGGGCTAAAGAAACTAGACAGAGGTCTAAGTTGAAAGAATAAGCAATAGATGGTGACGAAGGTCGAATCCAACTCAGCGTTTGAAATTTCGTGAAACTAATCGTCCCACTTATGGATAGTTTTTGAATGAGTTGAACAATAAACACAATCCATTCATTCAGAGAATCCCCTAATAATCATTGGGGTATACAGACTGTAGTTATTGTTGGAAAAGTTCAGCAGGTATGTGCTTAGGAATCAACACAGCCACATTGTTAAATTACCTATAATTAGCCGATTTCAGCTCAAATCACTATACTTCTACTTAGGTCACATTCTTCTATCAGAATACGACCGTTCACAAAGTGAATGCTTGGGAATCACTTCAAACGGATAGAAGACAGAAGCCTATAATCTCAAGTAGGCTTACAACAATATACCGCTGACATTTATAGACAAGACACAACCGGATTCATTAATATATATACTTAACCTTTGACCTTCCGGTCACATGTGTGCTATATTCAGCGCTAACAATAAGTGATACCTAAACCCTTGACCGCTGAATAGTTACTTGAAAAACAACCAGAGTAGTAGCTCCAGATAATCAGGCTTTGCTATCTGTAAATTCGGATTATGGAAAAGGTACCTTCGATTAAGCAACATAAATGACCACTTTAGTCATTTACATAGTTAACCACCATGTAACGAACAAACACTGATATCTAGGTGGCGTGGATCCTGTCTACGAGAGCCAACCCCTGAAACACACACCGTTTTCCTACAGAGGAAATGTCAACCAGTTTGAGCGTATGATAACTGATAATTGTAAATGTGTTTCTTATTTAGGTTAAATAGGATGCAATATCCATAACATCGTAATGAAATTATTTACTCAAAAATAATATAACATACGAATAAAGACTATTCACTTACCGTGTAACCGTAATGTACTTTCACTACAGGAATCATTTGGAGTTGTTTGACGTGATAGAGACTTGTTTGTTGACGGTGGAGCAGAATGTCGATCAATCGATGAGTACGGAGGATAAGTTGGTGAAGAGTTATGATGTTGATGATGAAAGGCAGGATGTGTTGTGTAGTCATCATTCGTATTACCATTCACAACTTTTGAAATGTTTGAATTTGATCGTCTTGTTTCGCATAGCATTCCAATGTCTGGATCAGGTTTAGGATTTAAGCCATTATGGTGTTCAGCAGAATGATCCAACATCATCATTGTCATCATGTTTCGCTGTCTTCAATAAGGCAAATTTATTCCTTTAAATAATAATAAACACAAAGTGTAGAATAATAGTACAATGTGATAGTCTCCTGAGATGAGTTAAACAATGGAGCTGCAACAAGATTAACTAATAGCACGTTCCGGAGCTGAGATCAATTCACCACCTCGACTGACCCAGATTAAACTGACACCCACCAAAACAAAATTTTGACCAGGACAATGATTCTCACAGGCCAAAAATGACTGTCCCAATCACATGTGGTCAGACAGACATTAATCACATGTATGCATATACATGCACATACATTTTGACCGACATACGCATTTAATAGAATACATACATACATACACAAAAAAACAGGCATAGCACAACACATGTATCCTACCCAGGTCTCTCTGTTTTTTAATTCGTCGGTCAGACAATCTGACCCTATCAACCTCTCTCTCCCCCTTAACTCAAATATCGGCCTCCCTACATGTAGTGTTTCCGCATTATGATTTGTTAGTTGTCCAACTCAGGCTATAAAATGCATAATTTTGATTGGTTGAAAATGGGTAATCTGAATGTCATGGTAACGCCCATTACAACGCCTATTGGTTGAATTGCCTAACTTAATCATCTGCACGGTTCAGTAAACGATGTGTGGTGTGTCATTGATTTTTCTAGTAGGAGAAATTGATTGTTGACTCGTTCTGTCTCCGATGGTCTTACATTGACAATGAGAAGTGTCATATTTTACTAAATTGAAATTAAAATTCAGGTCTGATACTGGAAAAAATTCACTTACAGAAAAAGTATTTAGTCAGAAACCCTCTAACAATAATAGTAATAATATCGGTTTAACGTAGAATTCATCTACTGTACAAATTTACTTAGGCAAAGAAAAATAACTGTGGCATTCAAAAACTTCTAAATCTGATTTTAAAAAATTCTGTTGTCCTGAAACAACGTCAGTTAGTGAGAAAGAAAAGAAAGAAGAAAAACACATTTAGAAATAGTAATCGATTTGTATATAGGCGTAACTCCGTTTATCGTTATCGTTTAACATCAACTTATGGTTTTAAAATTCATATCACGAGGGTAATATTTCAAATAATCAAAAAGTAAAAGTTCAACTGTACCACATTTGTGAGGTGGGAACTCGCTAATTATCCTGAACAGAGAAATTGTGCTAATTTGTTTTGTTAATTCAACCCCCTAACTGTAATCTATCCGTAACAATTCCTAATGTCATCCGAATCAGGTTAACCTAGCCTTAAATTTAACCGAATCTTATTCACCGTCTTCCGTCTGTCAGATGTCAAAAGTTCCACCAGGATAGTTGGGTTATAAGAGGGAGGAATCTATGCCTAAATTAAAGTGAAGCGATTCAGCAGAGAGAACGCACAGATGACCTTGAACGTATAGTATTCGTTGGATAAAAGGACCTATTAATATTACACTGCCACTATGAACGTATGACATTGCAAATAGCATTGCAATCTAGTTTTTAAGTCCCGTTTGAATACCGTATTCATAGATCTTTAGGGTTACAATTAAGATTACGATTAAAGTTAGAGTGCTTTGTATTTTTAAAAAAGAATCTGCAGTTTTCTAGTAAATAGTTATTAATTCCCTTACTGTGCGTCGGTGGCATAGCGGTTAGGACGCTCGTCGACCATGCCCATGACCCGGGGTTCAATCCCCGGCCACCGACGCACTCCTTTACCTCGCTAAACTAGAAATAATGTTGGTAAAGAGGAAAGGTTGGGCATGAGGCTAGCAACCCAATCCTGTAAAATAAACACTACTACAGAAACTTCAAGCCAATAAACTTGGAGCCGTAAGTTCCACTGGGGAACGTGAAGGAAAAAATTTCCTTACTGGAACCCATACTTAATCAATCAATCAATCAAGGGCTTTTCGGGGAGAACTCTTCTTAAGTTACTTTGATAAATGAATACATTTACAGTAATTGGTTCCACCTGAAACGCTGATACTCCATATTATAATTGGCAATTAATTAATTAATTAAGTCACGTCAGAGAAACAAAATCCTGTTTACTGTGTGTTTTATCACTATTCCTTGATGTAAACAAACGTCATTGTTATGTAAAAACCACTGGTTTTTCTGACTAGCCACTTCAAGGTCAGTCGTATGTTCACATTCTATGGATTGCTAGGGTTTAATATCTCATATCTCATCGTAGTATTTGTTTCAAGATCTTTGGAAGTTTCCACAGTCGCGTTGTTATTTTTTTTTTGTCCTAATAGGGTGAGGTTCGTAGGCACACATCCAATGTCTCGATAAGAATCAGGAATGAGTCAGTCAGAATTTGAACACCCACATCAACAAGTGTATAGATGGCTAACTTATCCCTGTTAAATGTCAGTTCATGGTGTATAAGTTCAACATATAAAAACATGAATTCTCTAAGTTGCTGAGTTATCTTTACCTGAAATGCAAAAATTAACCTCTGAAACAATGAATTCTTTGAAGACTTTGTTAAAATACCCCACTTCTGATTATTCCTCGTTATGAAATTCAATTTAGATCCCAACAAATGATTGTTCTTGAATATTAGATAAATCTGTCTGTCTGTCTGTTTTTGATATAGAACTTTGCACATATGTTCGCCAGTTCAAGTCGCCACACTACCTCCACGTAGCACACAAACCAACAGAAGAAAGTACAAGAAAAGCATAATAGAGACAGTAAGCAAAGGTGTGAGACAAAGGAAGAGTAATAACGAAGAACAAAACAGTTTTATTGGAAATCATAAATCACAAGGAGTGGATGCATCTGCACCAGCCACTGAGAACGATTTTGAGCCATGTCACCAATTGTTTCCCACCATAGATTTTTACCGTCCCGAGAACCCCAACCAATCAGGAAGCCAGTCTACACCTTCCTACGTGGCTTAGACTAACCGTTGTAGATTTCATTGACTGGTGAAGCCAAGTTTTTGTTTGACCGCCGCTAGCTTTTTTCCAGCCTGACCCTAAATCTGCTAACATTGCTCGTTGAGGAAGGCGATGACTAGGCATACATAACACATGTCCTAAATACCCCAGTCTTTGTAACTTCACAACTTCGTCGATTGATTTCCCCTGTTTACCTAGAACTCGACCGATGCCTAACCTGAATATTGCTCACCGGGGAGATAGAACACAGGCACTTATGATCAAAGACAACTAGCCTTTTCGTGTCCTCTACTCTCAATGGCCAGGTCTCAACAACAGGCATAAAGGAGGAGGAGGAGGAGGATAGGGAATCTAGTCCAGTGAAGAAGTCGAAATAATAAGGACTGTAGCGATGTATTGATTAGTTTGAAAACTATTTATTTTATTTTATTTTTCTTGATTACAGCTTGATGCCACACCGTATTTTTGGTACAAGTATGGAATTTTCAGCGTGGATATCGGTAGCCCAAAATTCGCAGGCCGACCATAGATATCAACTGTGCGTCGGCGTGGGCTCGAACCCCGAACCATGTGCATGGTCGGCGAGAGTCCTAACCACTGTGCCACCGACTCACATTCGACTTCAGACATCTTTCTTTCTGTGGCTGTTGATGTGAGAGTTGGAAACGGGCATTGCACTCATCGACTACTGGGGTTTAAACCCAGGGCCTTCATGTTACAAGGCAAGATCGTCGACCATTCAATCAGTGGGACCCAAATTTATAGTTATTCCATAAACTCTCTCTCTCTCTCACTACTTCTACCAGTTCATGATTTTAGCGTAACCACCAATCACAAGTCGTGACTAGTGGGGTTCACCCAGTCGAAACTGAGGACAGATACTCGCCGGCGATGACACTGGCTAATGCCAATAAGGCTAAAATCCCAAATTGGTATAAGCGCAGCTGGAATTCATAAACTGACTGTTGAATAGAGTCCCAGTGACTGAATAGTCTATCACCTTGACTTGTGACTGGAAGGTTCTGATGGCTTTCTAACCCCAGTAAGTAGGTGCATAGTGCCAATGAATCTCAAGGACTAGGATACTGAACTTGAGACAAATCGAATATCTACAAAATAACTCTTGAAGATATTGTCGATTAGCATAGCTATTATATTACTGACCTTACTGATAGACTGAAATCTACTCACATCAAAGTACTTATAAGATAAATATATTACTACTAATAGTTTAAAGAATTTTTCACTTGAGAGCTATACCATTCCTGAGTAAAACGAATATTGACGGTGATACAATGATGTTGTTGTTTATCATATAATAATTTATGATTATTCCCCTGGGGGTTTCCATAAGGAACATTTGCAACCATCAGCACATTGTCATTTTAATCGCTATCTCGACAGTATTATTTCTAGCTAGCTTTACGTTTTGCCTGTAGGCCTTAATTTCCTCTTTACACAATCTTCTCTATGCCGCTGTGTAATGCCAATTCAGGAGCTTGTCTCAGGTATGCTTACACTGAGTGCTCTTCTCAGAGTATATACGACAATAGAAACTTGATTAGTTCACAAGTTGCTACAGTTCCTTTCTGTTTGACAGTCTGGGGGTATAGACAGTCGTCATCCATTAATATAGAACAATGCATTGAAGTATTATCAATGCAAGCAAAAATTTTAGTCCTAAAAATTTCTAAAAAATATCTCAAATATGGTGTTTCATATTTGGCTCATTTGTTTTTCACTCATATGTCTTACCATGTTTGTATGGCCTGCCTAAAACTTGGGCTACTGAAAACCCCTTCGTCAGTTTACTACAGGTAATTCCTCGTATTCCTATTGCTTAAATCTATTAAAATAGTATTATTTAATCTGGAGACTATTTAAATGATTTACAACCTGCTCATTCGCAAGTTCCTCTGTCTGGATTCAACATAGAACTTGTCACCGAAGTGCAGCACTTCGAGTGTTGCACAGAAAGGTAGACAAGAAGATGAGTGGAGAGAATCAACAGAGTTTCACAAGTATAAAAGTGAAACAGAATGGGTAATGGTAACAAAAGGAATATGAAAGATTACAGAGACTAAATACATCTGCGCTG